GTTGGCGGCGGCCTGGGCTGCGGTAGCCTTTGCGTTGGCGACGGTAGGGTTGGTGTCTTGCTGGGTGGACATCTGATAGCCAGCGCATCAAGGGGAGAGGGAGGTTACGCGGTCAGAAATCAACGAAAAGACGCGAAGGCGGCGATGTGATGAACGCCCGCAACGATGAGCTCACCTTTTGTTAGATTAACTAGAGCGGTCGGTTGAAGACGCGAAGGTAGAGGTAGTTGAGAGGGAGGAGGTCGTGTGGGTTACTGATGGAGAAGAGGAGAGCGAGCAGACGAGCGGTTTGTATTTGAAGGGTAGCGCGGACCCACCTGTTGCCCGCTTCCCACACGTCATATCTCCCAGCCCCAGCTCCGCGTGCCTCTCCTCCTTCCACCCCGCTCTCCATCCACCGTCATGCACTCCTACGCAGACGTCAAAGTGAGTATCATTCGCACCACCCAGGTGATGATGATTGATGTCGATCTCTTTCCCCCGACTTAGACGCTCCACGCTACTCTGCCCCCCTTCGCACCTCTCGTGCCAACCTCCTTACTTCCATATCTCTCTTTCGTCCTCCTAGGGGCAACTTTCGCTCTTGCCTTCTTCTTCACAACGTACGTGTTCTCCCCATTCGCTAGCACTGGATTGTTACCCCCCGTCTCTCACACAACGCTGCTTTCACGTGTTAAACAGCCTGCCAACGCCAGCAGTACCCTCTAAAGAACTCGGCGTGGCTTCTTTAGCTAGCGTCCTTGCCGGTTTTGGTGTCGTCGCTCTTTTCTGCACAGCAGGTGTCTACGTGTAATCGTTGCGGCTGCGGCCTTTGCATGCAAATTCAAAAATAGTGCTGCGCGCTGCCAGATGCCACGTCAGTCTTTTCCGTTGTGTGACGAGAAACAGGATCGAGCGCAAAATATTTCATCACCACCGCAAGCAGAATCAGAATCAGCACATTATTTCGATAGCTCTTGCAAATGTATTGGCTGGTCGGTGGGGGGTTACTGGTTTTTCGGAAAGAAACTTACTCCCGAACGAAGATTTTGGCGCAACTTCGCTTCAAAGCCTCAACACACTGGAAACCGCGTGTAATGTCAGCCATTCCCTTCGATATATCCTGCACTTGGGGCGCAGGTCAGACGACTATGGAGGCTTGCAAGTGAATGCCCCGCGATGCGGCGCGCGTTCGTGGCTTGAATTTCTGCCCGCTTGAAGCAGGCTTTGTCGCGACATCTTGGCCGCATTGAGCTCAGCTGGCCACTTCAACAACATATTCACGAGCTGATCTTTGCCTTGCAGCTTTAAGCTTGTTGAATAGAGCTTCCCTTGATACTACCAGTCACCCGCCTCGGTTGGCAAAGGGACGAGTTTATGGAACGAATTAGTGATTTGCGTGATGCATACCGCACAGGTTCGGATGGCGGTTCCTAGTGTCTTTTCCGTTCAAAAGTGTCATCCCTTAGTCAAGAATCAGCCCGAGGGAAGGATGGAGCGAGGCTAATTACACACTATTTAGATTAATCTGTCATGGTAATCAAGCAACATCGTTGGTGCAGTGGTTAGCATGCTTGCCTTCCAAGCAAGCGGGCCGGGTTCGATTCCCGGACGATGTACACTTGTTTTTATTTTGCTCTCGTGAACCTTCTCTTCCCTTCCAGAGCACAAGGTGCTGTGGCGGAGACAATGTCACCGACGACGGCGGCCACTTCTTCTTGCTTCGGTACCGATGTTTGTGGTGTGGCCTGTTTGTCTCGATGGACTATAGAAGCCTGCATGCATATCTCAATCCACCGCTCACCAGCCCCACCTACAGCCAGTCCCCTGTTCGCAAAGGCTAGCATTGAAGGCGCCAAGGTACGCGTACCTTAGCCCCTACAGTAGTGGCTGAGCCTTATCGCCATCCTCGCGTTCGCACAGCCTACAGGAAATGGAGGACAACCACGCTATCAATATTTCGACAATTCCTCCTGAGCTCGTCATCAACATCCTTGAATACCTGCGATCCGACAACGCTTCATCTAAATCACCCTACACCGACCTACTTCCGGTAACACAAACGTCGTCACAGCTGCGGCAAACTGCTTTGTCAGCACCCTCCTTATGGTCAACAATCGAAATAAACGACAAACCCTCATCGTTCAACTTTGCCAAGCTATGCCTGGCGCGATCGGGAAACCACAAGCTCGATATTTCGATTCGGGTGCTGAAGAAGATAGAGATCAAGATCAAAGGGCTTTTGGCGCTGCTTGAATACGCTTCGTCAAGGATCCGGAGCTTGTCGATGAAATTGAGCTTTACGGGCCCTGAGCAGTGGGATCTGTGGTGGGACTCGTGGAAAGCGTTGCAATACGGAGCCCTGGAGGACTTCAATCTCGAAGTCTGGCGCAGAGAGATCATGGCCGCAGGGAACTCGGCGCTGAACAACGCCATTCCGCTACCAGATGACACGTCACCTCTTCGGAGTCTGACTCTCACTCACG